GATCAACACCACCCTGCCCATATCGATCACACACAGCCCGATCAACACCACCCTGCCCTTATCGATCACGCAGCCCGATCAACACCACCCTGCCCTTATTGATCACACACAGCCCGATCAACACCACCCTGCCCTTATTGATCACACAGCCCGATCAAGAGGCATTTAGATGCCGCGCTGCTTGTCTCCAGTCGGTGTGGGGCGTGCGATGGGTCTGCCGGGCTGCGTGCTGGTGTGTGTTGTGGGGGCGCTCAGCTGGGCACGGCCCTGACGCTGCTCAGGACCACGTGCTCGGACACGCGCGACGACAGCGGCTCAGACTTGCTCCCGTTGGTCAGCGACTTCTGGCTGGTGGTGCGTGCCAGGCGGCGGGCCTCCGCTCCCCGGCACCGCCGCAGCCCCCGGAAACAGCAGGAGAACGCGGCTTTGAACTCCCCCCGGAATTTCCCTGGGACACACGGAGAGAGAGGGAGACACTCTGAACCGCCGCCCTTCGCTCGGGAGGAGGAGAGCAGGCGGGAGACGGACGCTGGCCGCGACCTCACCGCTCAGGAAGTTGTAGATGATGGGGTTGGCGGCGCTGTTGGCGTAAACCAGCCAGTGGGAGAAGGTGAACCAGGCGTAGATGGCCTCGCGGTCGCCCGCGTTGTCGAACACGCCCGACACCCTGCAGGGGGAGGAGGAGGGAGTCAGGTGGTGGCTATCGTACCCCGGCTGGCTGCGCGGCGGGCGGGGGTGCCCACCTCTTCAGCACGTTCAGCACGCTGATGGGCAGGTAGCATAGGCTGAATACCAGCAGCACCACCAGCAGCATCTTGGCCGTCTTGCGGCGGGCGCGCAGCTGCTTGACCTCGGCGCTCGGCGCGGTGCCCGGCCGTGCCACCAACCCTGCGGACCCCGATGGCCTCTCGACCCCCGGCGCCTGCCCCCCGTCATCGCTGGACCCCGCACCCCTCACCCACTTCCGAGAGACGGCACCCGAGGCGCCGGGGATCTGGGGAGGAAGAGAGGGTCACCGGAGGGCTGGAGGGGCAGGCCGGTCGGCCGTCTCTCCGCCTGTCGCTCGGACGCGCTCACCTGTCGACTCCAGAGCTTGCGGAAGATTTGGAAGTACGCCATGAACATCAGGCACAGGGGGGCCAGGTAGGTCACCAGGAAGAAGCAGACATGATAGACGCGGGGGTACACCTCCCCTGAGACAGGAGAGAGGAGCAGAGTGAAGTCCCTAGAGACCCCACCTCAGTCCCCCCGCGCAGCTGCAGACAGAGACCCCCCTAAACCCTCTGCGCAGCTGCAGCAGGAGACCCTGCCTGTAACCCTCTGTGCAGCTGCAGCAGGAGACCCTGCCTGTAACCCTCTGTGCAGCTGCAGCAGGGGACCCTGCCTGTAACCCTCTGCGCAGCTGCAGCAGGGGACCCTACCTCACACCTCTGTGCAGCTGCAGCAGGGGACCCTGCCTCACACCTCTGTGCAGCTGCAGCAGGAGACCCTGCCTGTAACCCTCTGCGCAGCTGCAGCAGGAGACCCTGCCTGTAACCCTCTGCGCAGCTGCATCAGGGGCCCCTTGCCCAGCTGCTGCTCTGACTGATATATTAAATGACAGACCGACCAGGTGGCCTCCCCGATTTCCCCCCAGACTCCAGCCCCACGCTGGCTTGCTCGCTCTCACCCCCCCAGCGCTCCTCGCACACAGACAGCAGCAGGGTCCGATTGGCCAGCTCGGGGATCATGCTGCTGGTCTCCATGACGACGGCCTGGGGCACCATGATGGCGAGGGACAGCAGCCAGATGAGCACGATGCTGTTGCGTGCCCGCCGCGCGGTGCTCTTGAACATCAGCGGGTGGCAGATGGCGTACCAGCGGTCCAGGGCGATGAAGCTGAGGGTGAGGACTGACACCGACACTGAGACCGTCTGAGGGAGAGGGGGGGGCAGATGGAGAGGAAGAGAAGCAGAGATCGAGAGCAGACGCGAGCGCTTCTACCACACTTACAGTAGAACAAGAACACCCAGCATCTGTAATTCACTCTGTGTACCACACGAGGGCAGTGATGTCACTGAGAGAGCAGCTGGGCAGTAAACCGGCTTCGAACATGAGGAAGAGCCGTTCTTTCCCTCCCTCTGGCTCCTGGATCTGCCCTGAAGGACTCTGGGCTCGTAGGTGTGGCCTGCTGCCCCGCAGGGGGACAGAGATGCACGGAGACACAGCGCACAGACAGGCACTGGGCTGTGCTGGACCTGCTCCCCTCAGCCAGGCTCTTCCAGGTGGCTTCTGTACACGTAGCCTCTGTAGCAAGACACAGGGCTTTAACACAGACCCAGGAGCCACAGCTGCAACTTCTTTTGGCCTCAAGGCCAGAAACACCCAGTGCCCCCAGTGCCCAGCTCACACCTGTCCCCCAGGCGTTTCCAGACAGATCCCAGGGAGTGGGGAGCAACAGCAGTGTGGATCATATCCCAGCTGCCTCCTGTGGTCTGTCCTGAAGGCCCTGGGGCGTCCTGGACTGACTGCCAGTCCTGAAGAGCCATCCTCCTGGGAGAGCAGGCTCGGGACACACAGCACACAGCACACACAACACAGCACACACAACACACACAGCACACACAACACAGCACACACAACACAGCACACACAGCACACACAGCCCATACAGCCCATACAGCACACAGCACACACAATACACACAGTACACATAACACACAAAGCACACAGCACACAGCACACAGCACACAGCACACAGCACATTCAACACACACACAGCCCATACAGCACACAGCACACACAATACACATAGACACAACACATGCCACCAGGCTGCAGAGCGCTACCTGCAGGTAGGGGATGACCTTGCACAGCGTCTGGCCGAAGAACCAGCTCTCTGTGATGTCCACCACCAGGCTGACCGGCAGGCAGATGGCAGTGACCAGCAGGTCGGCCAGAGAGAGGTTTACTATGAAGTAGTTAGTGACCGTCCTCATGTGGTGATTCCTCCAGACAGCCAGACACACTGAGAGAGCAGAGAGGGACAGAGGGGGGAGAGGAGGAGAGAGAGGAGGAGTGAGAGGGGAGAGAGGAGACAGAAGAGGAGTGAGAGGGGGAGTGAGAGGGGGGAGAGGAGGAGAGAGAGGAGACAGAAGAGGAGTGAGAGGGGGAGTGAGAGGAGGAGTGAGAGGGGGAGAGGAGGAGTGAGAGGAGAGAGAGGAGGAGAGAGGAGGAGTGAGAGGGGAGAGAGGAGGAGTGAGAGGAGAGAGAGAGGATGAGAGAGAGGGAGAGGGCAGAGAGGAGGAGAGAGGAGGAGTGAGAGGGGAGAGAGGAGGAGTGAGAGGAGACAGAAGAGGGGGGACAGATGGAGAGATGCAGGCAGTTGTTCAGGAGTGAATAAGGAGAAGCAGAGCCCAGGTAGGCAGGTTCAGTACAGAGACTGCAGACAGTCCACCAAACCCTTAATGTGTCAGTCATTCCTTCCTCAGGCCAGGAAGCTAGGGGCCCTGTACAGTGTCCGAAGCCCTGGACTGGACTGGACTCTTCCCCGAAACCTGCTAGGAGTAACGAGAGCCATGATCTCCGAAGAGCTACAGTGAGTCATTGCTTGATTCATGAACGCCATCAGATCCCCTTGCGAGTGTCCACTGGCTCCCTCATCATCCCTCCCCCACGGGAGACGCCTGTGAAGAGAGCGCCCTCTGGTGGCAGTTCTATGCTCCAGCCCAGCTGGATCCAAATCTGAGCTGACCCTCACTCTAGCAGCGGTCAATCCAGCTGCTCTGTCCGTTCTCCTCTCTACCTGCCTGTCCACCTGCCCTGGACGGCCCTGTTTGTCCGAGTGGTGGTCAGTGGCGGTCAGCTCACCCAGGATGTTGCCGGTCAGCGCCACGACGAAGACGAAGATGTAGCCGGCGATCAGGACCCACTCGTACTGCCGGGGGAAGAGGTACTCCTTCCACAGGTAGCGCAGGATCTCCTCCTCATAGTCCGAGTGAGCCCCTCCGGCCTGCGCCGTGCCGTTGGGCTCGGAGGCCCCCGGAGCGCTGGCGTTCAGCTGGGCTCGGTCCATCCCGCCCCGGGTCAGGAGGTCAGGGGGTCCGCACTGCCGCACCAGGCCCTGGGGAGGACGCAGGGAGGGGAGGGAAGGAGCGCTCTTTACTGACCGCCATTGACTCCCCTCGCCGCCCGGTCAGGAAGGCAGTGGGTCAGTATCAGTGTGTGACCGGCCAGTGTGCCAGTCAGGGTGTGTGCCAGTGCATTGGTCAGTGTACCAGTCGGTCAGTGTACCAGGCAGTGTGTTGGTCAACATGTGTACCAGTCAGTGTGTGAGTCAGCAAGTATACCAGTCACAAAGCATCAGTCAGTGTTCCGGTCAGTGTGTGTGTCGGTCAGTATGTGAACAGGTCACTGTGTGTACCAGGCAGTGTGTGTACCGGTCAGTGTTCTTAGTCAGGATCATTGTGTGCTGCAGCCTGTCTCAGGACCAGACGTCAGCCTGCAGCTCAGAGAGACACCAGGCTCAGCTGCACACTGGCTGCAAGCAGGTCAGCCAAGATCGGGCTGCGAACGCACACTGACCAGTACACACACTGAGCCTGCTGGCAGGGGGAAGAGCTCAGGGGGTCGAGAGGACCGCCTGTGGCACAGCAGGGTCCCGGCATCCCCTGGACTGTCCAACCCGACTCGTTAATCTAACGCATTATTTTCTGAGAGAAAGGTAGGAGGGGTGTGTTTCAGTTCAGGCTGTAACATGCACGTCTTTAAAGGGACAGTTATCTATTAAACAGCTGTTAGCCTGGACAGAACTGTGACAGGTGTGCAGTTAGACATGAGCCGATTGGCTGTGTAACAGAGCTCAGGCAGATACTACCTCACAAGGCAGATACTGGAGCCCAGGCCCAGGGCTGTTACCAACAACAGCTGACCATGTGGGCACAGATTGATGGGGGACATCTATATGGACTACAGACCCCTGAATCGTTACATCATTAGAGGCACTAACGATCATGGACGTTAATCAAAGTTAATCTCCACCAAATACGGACTAGTCGATTCAAGGAAGAATTGGAGAACTCAGAAGGAGAAGGTCACCTTTCAGTCTGGCCTGGCATTATCTGCCTCATTGCTTGTCGATACATCGATCGATCGGCAGGGGGCGGGAGTCCTGCAGCGCCGCCGGGGTGTCTTGACGGGATGACCGCAGGCGTGACCCAGCCAGCTGTCCGCGCCCAGGCTGGACCGTGCTGTCAACACGCCGGGGCCGCCCGACAGTCCGGCCCGTCCGGCCGGTCCGGCGCCGTGGTGCGTCTGCGCAGCGGTGACCGCGAGCAGAGACGGGCGGGAGCGCGAGTCGCGAAGCGCATTTTTGATCGCTCAAGCACCATGTCAATAACCCCCACTGCTAAACATCACTAACGGGGGTACTGGATTGACCAGTAAAAATACTTAGACTGAATACCGTAATCTTTCATTTAAGACAATTTTACCCGCGTCTAACCCGGGCTTCGTGCTGAAGTTGCTTGAGGAGTATACGGACCGGCGCGTTAATAATGAACGGTTCACCTGCCGCCTTACTCACAGCTTAAACCCTGAGTAACGGTTTGGGCAGCTGGATGTCAAAAGGCAAGTTATCTGACAGTCGGTAAGGATGTTAATCCCCTGATCAGCTGCAGACACTGGGTCGAAAAGGTCGCCTGAGTTCGGTTCTTGTCCAGCCGCGAGTTCAGACACTGTCAGGGGCGCCGGGGCGTCTTTTCAACTGGTTCTGAAATACAGTATATCGGAATATTCCGTCCTCAGTGTCCAGACCACCAGACTAGTGCCTTTATCTCCCAAGACTCCGGCCGCCGTCACCCCTCGACCCGCCCAGCCCGGAGCTTCCGAGCTCCCTGGAGACTCGACCTGTCGGCGAAATCTTCTTCCAAGGGTTGGAGACGAGATCCATGTTCTCCATTTTATCTCTCCCCGTAACACTTGGCGCCTGTTGCTTCATACGTAGAACAGAAACGCGACTCTCAAACCGTCCTGCGAGGAGCCCGCCCGACAGAGGAACCGCGACCGGACCCGCCCGGACCGCCTGCGGACCGTCGCTAGAAACGGGTCTTTTTACAGAAAGAACGCTTCCCTCTTAAGAATCAGCTTTGTAACTGGGGTCATGTCCTCGGGGAAAGTAAACCGAAGACACAGGCAGCCCACCTGTTGAAACCGGGTAATAGATAAACCACTTCGCACCACAGAGCCGCACTGCCCCCCGCACAGACCCGCACAGAGCCCGTACTGCCCCCCGCACAGAGCCCGTACTGCCCCCCGCACAGACCCGCACAGAGCCCGTACTGCC